CGGTCCAATTTGGGGATCATTTGCGGTCGGGCATCATTTGCGGTGCTGTACATACCTAACCAGAATACCTTGTACTATAGAGGAGAGCTTTGGTATTTTCGGGTTTGGTGTTCATTGCGGTTTGCGGATTTTCTGTTTCTTCGCATTTGGTTTTCGATTTTTGTCAAAAATACTAGCGGGTTTTCGGATATGGTATCCGATGTGGCGTTTGCTTTTTCCTATTTGGGTTTCGGTTTCTCTTCGATCTCAGCGCCTGCACTGATCTCGAATAGCCGCGAAATGCAATTATTGTACCGGTTAGCTTCCCATGTGCAATCGCATGTTCGACCAAATAACAGGTCACACGTGACTGATTGATTCAACGCTCCGATCAAATCTCCAAACATTCAGTTCTTAGTTCTGAAATGGAAGTGGTAGATGAAGGATTTTCGATGGAAGTTTCCAGAGCTACAGCTTTTTGCGACTGCAAAATTGTAATCCTATAGAGGACTTTGTGCGAATTTTCCTCATTTAACCAGGCTCTATTACCAGCTGCTTTACGATAATGAGACTGCAAAGACTGGGCTCGCGAGAGCGGTGGAAATAAAGCCGATAATTTATGCAGATACCAGCTATGGCATTCACAAATACTGTGATGAAATTATTGTAGTTTACCCTTTATGCTCCATTGTATCAGATCGATTAGGGTTTTACTAATTGGAATGTGAAAAGTTATTCGTTTTGACGATTTTGAATGCGGTTTTTGTTTGTAATTGAATTTTTTTCGCGATTCTACGGCTTTGGATGATTTTTTCGTTATCTAATAGAACCCAACGTCCTCTCCATTTTCCGGCGTGGTCTCCTAAGGCTTTACTCCAAACGTTTTTATTTTAGCGCCTGGAAAACTGACACTCTTCGCCCCCTTCCACGTTTTTAAGTCAGCTACAGTTGTAGGACTTGTAGACATCAATCAACCTAGTCTGCCACGCGGGTTATCGGCAACCCAACCGCTTGACCAAGAGCCGGCCACAGAGATTTTGGGGTCCAGTCGACATTGGCTAGGTCAATTGGGCAATTCAACCAGAAGTCCTGGAAGTCTGACACAATTTTTGGACTCCCGACTCCTGATCCAGGCCAGGGAATGAAGATTCTGCCTGCGAGGTTCTTGCCAGAGGTGTTCTAGGCCTTTCCACAAATATCCAGATATTTGAGGGGATATTTAGAAGTTTCCAAGATATGGTAGTAGTTTTACCCATTGGAGTTTTCTTGTGCCAGGTCCAGCAGGTGAACGATTTTGGAAGTGTGAAACTGGCCGTTCACTTTGGTTTCTTTCGGTCGGTTTTCCACTTTTCCGCTTCTTCTAGTGTTTTGTTTTTTTTGTTCTTTTTTTAGTGTTTAGGTTTTCGCTCATTTCCCAAAGTTCGGCCATAAAGTCATCATCAATCTTCTCGAAAAGAGATGTCATTGCTGTAAAACAATAGCAAAGCAGTTTTTACCGTTGCCTAGCGACCTGAGAGAGCCAGTCACTTCAAAGTAATCCCTCCGAGCAGGGAAATTTAAGAAAAAATGACCTCTATTTTTTGCGCAGACGCCCTTTGAGATCGTCACGCAATCTTCTTCTTTCGTACATGGCGTGGAAGAGGAAGATTGGTTGACGAGCCAAATGAGCGTTTGCGTAGGAGGCTACTGTTTCGGCCAATGAGAATACAGTAATTTTACCCTCTATGTTATAAACGGGATTTTTGCCTTCAGAACCTTTATTTGTGGCAAGGCGTGCAAATACAATAGAATACCATTTTCTCGAACCTCCGAGGGAAACGAAAATTGGGTGCCACATTCAAGACAAATGACGTTTTCGTACCCCTTGAGGGTAAAAATTGCGATTCCTCAGCCGACAGTGAACCTGTTACATATCAGTTGAAACTGAATAAAACGAGTAATGGTGGAATCTCCATTTCTTGAGCCCACCCTTCCTCAGACATCGAGAAAACACGAACTAAAAATGGTTTCTCTTGGATTTGCTGCACTGTAATTTTACCTCGAAGTCTTTTTACTCGAACGAATCCTCGTTTCCCTACGAGGATCGATAAATCGGGATTTCTAGTACTCTTCGATAGGCTCTGTACTTTCGAACAGCCAGGCTAGTGCTCTCAACTCTAAAAATAATGCTAGAAAATGAAATCATCTTCCAGGGGTTGCTGTTGATCATTGATAATTTATGCATCAAATAAATATAACTATTACTGAAAAGGGGAAAAAAATTGTTCATTTCGTTTTCCAGTCGCGAGAAGTCACGACAACGTTTCTCAATTTTTGGAATAAATCAAATGTAATTTGAATATAAACTGGAAGGAACTATTTTCGCCGGGCCCAAAGTTCCTTGGCGTGCTTCTAGGATCTTCTAGTTTCATAGATGGCACGATGTTCACAGATTTTTATAGCAGTCAGTCTGCTCTGGAGTTTGATGTTGTTAAGCAGGAAATCAGGTATATATGTTTCAAAAGAAACTTGTAGTTGTAAATTTACTCTGCTCAACATCTGTTTAAGGCGAATTTTGCGTCCCTTGGAGGATCAAGAAAGCAAATTACATTGTAAAATTTATCATTGTTCGAAAAATATGCTTGCAAGTTCGGTGTTCAGAGTCAAAGGGTTTGTTTTATCTACCTGTATAGTTGCACGTCTCCTTTTAGAAATCAAGATTTGATTTTGGAAGCTAGATGATTTCGTATTGTGTCAACAAGAGCGACCAATATATGTTGGATATTAAGACGCCCGAAACTGAAATCTTCCTTTTATTTCTTGTAAATATTTTCAAAACAAAATATTGATTACGTGTGGAGATATTTTTTCAATATATAAGTCAGTTAAAAAACCCTCTTTTATTATAAGTAACTGAATTAAAGACGGTTATTTCCAGGTGTTTTTGTGATGGAACTATCCCGGTTTGATTTTTTCTTGCTGTAACCCAGCCTCTGCCTAGACCGTAATTATACTTAATTCGGAATTTTTGTTCATCATTTCTGCATCAAATTAAATTATATCAACCTTAAGACCACAATGAAGAGGATATTTTTTTCATCATGCATTGCAAAAAAAATTGCAAGGATAAAATAGATCTGAAATGTCTTGCAGACGGATTACCCAACAAATGTTTCCACCATTTGATGCAGACTGTGAAACCACTATAAATTTTACCCTAAAGCTATAGAGATGAAAAGAAATTTCTACAGGCCCCGACTGCTGCGAGTTAATCAGGCAAAACCATACTAGTCAGTATTGTCTATATTTTTTCTTAGCTGTACAGCATCATAGTCACACAGAAGTCTATGTTTCTCTGGAAGGAAATGATTGTGAAAGATGTGGTACAATCACTCACCCATGTCAGTCCATTGCGATGGGAATCCATCAAGTAGATTGGGGCGGACATATTTACCTGGATGGTACTGGAACCGAGCGAATGCCTTACCACTGCAACTCTTCAATGGCGCATGAGCAACATCTAAATATTAACATTCAGAAAAGTTTGAGTTTGATTGGTCTGAAATCCACACCATACATTTCTTGCCCTAGTGGCTTGTATTTTGACAAGTCAAGTACTCAGACAACAACTATTGTTTTATTTCGTGTTGTTTTTCGGCAAACGCCACTATTGTTTCAGGATTCTGATTTCAAAATTTCAACTGCTCTTTTCAAGATACCTCCAGTGCTCTGAGAATTCACATAACAGATAATGCAAGAAGGCATTTAAATATTCATGGCTCTTTTTTCTTTAACAACAACATTTCATGTGTGGAAATCATTTTGTACCACAAAGATTCAAACCAGGATCAACTTCTTGCTTTAAATATCAGCGAGACGACTTTTATGGCAAATGGATTTCACAAACAGCGGTTTCCAACAGGTGTAGTGACCATTCGCTCACAAACCACGCTGCCATCCAGCAGCATACATGTCCAAATATCTTGCTTAAACATCACATCTGTCAATAACGTTGGGTACTTTATGAACCTTGATCTCCCATCAGCTGTGACCAGCGAGGTTTATGATGATGTCAGATTGTTCAACAATACTCTTTCTGATTTGGTCAAGGCATCCACTGGTGGAAAAACACAAAACGTGGTGAATAGTTTGTACAATTCTAATACAAAGAAAACACGTGTTATGTTCAGCAACGTAAGATGTTCTCACAACCATTTATTGCGATGTATAAAGATTCATTCTGAGGAAGCCCAAGCGGAAATCCACAACTCGTCGTTTGTCGGACAGCGTCTTCGAAAGGAAAGAGAGGGAGCGATATTTTTTAACTCGACAGCACACGGGTCAGTGGTCATATTCAACAGCGAGTTTCGTAGGAACATAGCTAAAGGTGGTGGCGCATTGTTTACTCATAGTAAAAACGGAATTTTAACTCTTAACATGACAAGGATTAACTTCACCGAATGTGCAGCAGAAATGTACGGATGTGCAGTTTTGGTTGGCGACCTTGATTCTTCAAAGTTGGAAAACCGATCAACGCACAAGTTTTATGCCAGCATCAGAGAGATGTTAGTGTGGGGTTGCTTTAATTTCCAACAACAATGCTACATTGTCAGAATCGTTTTATCTAATGGAAAAGTGGCCATCACTGATTCTTCGTGGAAAAACGGCATATCATCAGCACCTAAAGCTTTAATGATATCAAACACGGGTGGCGAAACTGACGTGCTTATTTCTGGCTGCAAATTTCTGGTCAACGCTAAAGTACATGTAAGAAGCGCTGTTGTAATCAGAGCCCATAAAGCGCAAGCTAAAGGAAGCGTATTGATAGAAAACACTGTTTTTTCTAACCAATGGGTCACAGATCGAGATCGTCACGGTGGTGCCTTGTGGATGAGTCCCCAGTTCTCCATCAAACTGATAAACGTTGTTTTAGCTTCATTTGCGTACTCACTCCAAATACTAGGGTTATATCCAAAAGGACCTTCTGATACTCGCCCATTCCGCATTTCTATCTCAAACTGCAGCTTCCTTGAGAACAGCTTTGATATCTTGGCACATACAAAGGATCCAGCCCGTGTAGAGCTGGGCATCGAGAACACAATTTTCAAGAGCAGTCAAAGGACACATAAAAACTTCGGGCTCTATATCATTATTAGGCCTTTGGATGTACTAAATAGTTCCAGTGCAGTTATTAAAATTAACAATGTCACATTTGAATCGAGACCATGCAACGTTTTATCCTTGTTATTTAAAGGCAACAAAACTTTACAAATACAAAACTCAGTTTTTCGGAATGGTATATGTTTCCAACGATATGCGTGGAAAGGCGATATTTACGAGACCTCGACCGGTGCGATAACGGTCCTCACACCTCGTGATAAAGTCGTAAGTACAGGATGTGTCAAAAGAGCGGAAAGGAAAGAAACTCATCCTCAGTGGAGCTATCGAACTCATGCTTTATTTGAAGACAACATTTTTGAGGGAAACGTGGGGTTAATCGCTGGTGCTGTGCACGTAACCAACGGCTACACAACATTCCAAAGATGCACTTTTAGGAATAACTTTGCCATCGAACATTCTGGACACGTTTATTCCGCATATGGAACTGGCCAGGTGGATTTCAAAGATTGTTTCTTCTCTGCAACGAAGAAGAATATCACGATAAACAATACTACATTTTACAAAACGACCTTCTTCCTTTCCGAAAGTGGAGGACCTATAAATCTTCAAAATACAACTATGTTATCGTCTGCTGCTGAAAGCTATTCCTATCCCGTAATTGACATTTCCAATGGAGGCTTCGTATACATGGATGATAATTCGACCATCCAGTGCGAAATCGGAAATAAGCTCGAGTTGGATAATGCGACACATTTTGTATATACAGAACAAAACAAAAGCTTTTGCCGAATAAATGTCACTGTCTTGAAATACTCTTGCAATCTGTGTGGCCCTGGTTTTTACAGCATGCAAAAAGGAGTTTCACGAGGTGTAGTAGTCAACAATACTGTCAAGTGTCTACAATGCCCATTCGGTGCCACTTGTATAAGACGGAATATAGCTGCTAA